CTGTATACCTGTATTTTTAACTACACTAGAGGGTGACTGAGGTTAATTTCAAATAATGTCTTACAGGCATTTAATCTTAAATGTGATTTCGGTTCCTAGTATTTTCCTTCACTTGTTTCCAGGAATTTAAATAAGCAAACTGCACACGTTCGGCTTTTTCGGAAGGTTAATACTTTACTATTAGGCACGTGAATCAATGCATTCTATGTTTTCGTTTATATTTTGACAGGGTGGGAAAAGTGAACAATACTCATTGAGTGCAAATTTGTAATTTGCAATTTGGAGTTAGCTACATAGTATTTTGAATGTTTTAGGTAAGATTTGCGGTTATTTATTTAAATGTCACGAATATTTTAATGCAGTATATTTACTTTTTATATCAGGTATTACAAATCAACTGTAAATTTAAGAGTTATTGATTGCAGTAATGAATTTATATAAATTCTTTAATGAAATTAGGCTAAATGAGAAAAGTCACTTGGTTCTGAGCTTACGTATATTCTCGGATCGCGCACCTTCGTTCTCTGCTCGTCGGTCTTGAACAAGTCAGATATTGAAATCTAGACAAGTTAGGTTTCGTTTAATGTTTTTTTTTTCACATTGAGTTGAAGGAAATGAATCAAATCAATATTATGCCGATGGAACTAATAGTTAAGAAATTATGACGGTTTCATTTATGAAAATTGTAATTTTTGACCTTTACTCCCCTACTTATAAAACACATTTTCGAAACTAATAGTTTTATTACGTTAACTTTTTTTTTATTTGATGTAGCGTAAAAAGAAACTATTCATCATCACAAATATTAATGTCCATCTTAAATTTCATATGTGTTCCAAAGAGAGAGCAAAATACTCTTCCCGTTTGGCAAGTACAATCCTTCTAGATCAAACGTTTCCTTCTTTTACCTCTGACATAATGCGCCACTTTTTTGTACAATAATGTCCAACGTGTAAATATGTACAGGCACAAAACTGTACATTTTGCACGTAAAAGCTTTTGCAAGGTGTGAATTATTAATTTTATTCTCTCATTAAATTTTGTTTAACTTGGGAAACAATAATTTACCTGTATACCTGTATAAATAGATTAAACATAAAACAATACCTTTTATGTATGAAATCTAAATAACTTCGAAATTGTTAGTAATATCGATTTTAAACTGATTATATTCAATTCAGCGTAAAAAAATACGCGATAGAAATACCTCATTTGTCCAGATATCGATATTCAAGTTTGTGCCCATTTTCCCTAGAATAAATTGCTCCATTCTTTTAAAATTATGTATATAATAGCTACTAACAATGATAAAAATGCTATGATTTTCTCACAAAGGGATAAATGTTTTTGCCAAGCTGACGTCCTATCTATGAGCAATTTATGTGTAATTGAAGCTACACTTAAAGAGAATCATGGTCTTAGAAGATCACGAATCTATAATTTTTGTTCTTCATTAATGTTAAACTGTTTCATTTACAATTTGCATCTCTTTTTATTTATGCATCTTCCATTGAAACGCTATGTTACTGCGGACCTTTAAATATGTTGAAAAAAATATTGCATGAATTATTTACTTACGAAACCGAATGTCATCGCAACTAAAACTTCCGCAAATCTTGCACCATGTCTTAGAAATCCTTAATATGGAAAACCACGTAAAGCTTAATTCCCTGTGCATTTTATTCAATAACCGTCGTTGAACAGTCAACCCAATTTAGGGTTTACTACTAACAGTAGCCTTGAACCCAATCCAGAAGACAACGGAATCTCCTGGTTCAAGTGTTGGGATAAATTTGCCTTTGTGGAGGACTTTTTGATAAAACTAACCAGCATTTGCTTTGGAGAGGAAAATCATGGAAACGTCCCACGGTTAGCCTGACGGCAAGGGAAGTGTAACCCATGATCCGTCTACCACAGAGGATATTTTACTTCAGCATTGTGGTCGGTGCAAGCCGGATGCGGAATTCGTATCGACCAGCTAACGTTAGGATTCGAATCCGGTTCAAATCATTGGGATGCTAGTGCTCTATCCCCTAAGCCCTCACGGATCTTATTCCCTCCATTGTAATTTTAAATTTCTAAGTCTTACAATTTTTGCTTAGGAAAAAAAAACTGTAACATTAAGTTGAACACCCAAAACGGCGGCGGCTGTACTTACGATTTTTTTATAGATCGATATCAGCTATAAAGTATATATCTATCTAACTTTAAATTTAAAAAGTAAAACAATAACTTACTTCGAGAAATATGAATAACTAGGAGGCACCGCCCCCTGCTCGCTAACGCTCGCCAACCCCCGAGAATTGCTACGCAATCCTATGTGGTTCACGCCGTGAACCATGGCTCTCTGCGCTCGNACTTTAAATTAAAAAAGTAAAACAATAACTTACTTCGAGAAATACGAATAATTTTTAAAATGGATGGATAATCATTTAAAGTTAAGCACAGGTGACGCGAGGGGTTGAAATTCATCATAAGACTTCCGTGTTATTACTTCTCTAAAAATACGGATTTTTGATTCTTTATATTTAATACAGAGACATTTAAAATATGGAATTTTCTGATTGGCTTAGCAGAAGCCATTGTTTTAAAATAAAATAAAAACAATATTTCCTATTTGTAGTTTATAGTCGGTCCCTCAAACCTCTAAGAGATTTAAACTTCATTGATATGCATGCGAAATCACATGTTCTAAGCACTTCTGAAGTTATAAAATGATTTTTTTTAAGTATTTCTTGAGAAATACGATAAAATGTAGTAATATAGAAGTGTTTCTCGTATTTTGTCCATCCTCTGTATACAACCAATTTAAAATATATTTAAATACACACATTATAAATTAGATTTAAAATCAGCATCATTGTCATTAACAAATTTAACAAAAAATATTTTTTAACTGAAAATGATTTATTCAAATAAGTGACTATTTGTAACATGGTTGGTGTAACGAATGTATTTTTATTAGACTAGATTTATGAATAATTAATAAATATTTTCATGTTTGTGCTCTGATTTTTTTTGTACAGCTAACATATTTTTTTTGCTAACTTTTATGTATGCTTTTTTAAATAACTTGTTTTAATTATTATTCTTTTATTAATTTACTTTTATGCTATTTTCTAAATTTTTTGGGGGTTTCAAAACTTTCTTGATGTCAATAATATTTCTTTTATTGTATAAATCATGTTTATAAAAAGATATTTTTGTGTTGAATTTTGCCAGAATGAAATTTTTTGTCCTTTCCTAAGAAATAACTAAACATGAAATGATGCAGAATTTTTTAAATTACTGCGTGAAATAATTTTAGATACCCTATATATAGGTATAAATTTAGAAACCATACATAAAAATATAGCAATTTTAAATACCATTGATAAATAATTAACAATTTTAGATACCACACATAAATATATAATAATTTTAGAAACCATGCCAACAGGTATAAATTTAGATTTAGAAGTATATAATAATTTTTGGTGTCATATGCAGATAGAGAGCTGCCAGTTTCGTTTGGAAATTTAGTATTGTTACATTTTGAAGAATTATAAATGCTTTAAAAATTTATAAATGTAAATAAATGCTTTTATTATATATTTGCAGAAGTACTTGAAGAAGAAAAAATATGTTGGGATAAAATGCCCCAAAATGTAAGTAAAAAAAACAGTTTCGTTTGAAATTTAATCCGTTTTTTTTTCAAAAAAAGAAACATTGTTTATTAAAAATCTATTATAATTGCAAAAAATATAAAAGTAATTATTTCCCTCTTTTCTCAGCATCATTTAGTTTATATATCTTAACATAGAGACTCATAAAAGTATGAGCTGTTTTTTTAAGCTAGATAACAAACAATTAAAAGTATCTAAGAAAGAAAAAATCAACTGTCAAAGATGCAAAAAAATCAAAGATGCAGATTTGATCTCAACGATGCAAATCTGATGCAAATGCGTAAAAATTCGAGTACTAGGACTCAAGCTTAAGGGCTCACAGGGTTGACCTCAAATAGGATAAATTATTAGTGCAGATGATATTTAAAGTGGCGAAATCAGACACAAAAACGTATTTTCTCTGAATAAAAATACCTTTTTTTAGCTGGATTTGAATTCCTTGTTGAATGTTATTCTTAAATGGTGTGGGTGAAAATGTTGGTAATCTGAAAAATATAATCCGTAATCTGTAAAATATTGTTCCAATATGGTGGTCTCGGCAATAATAGACGTATTGTAATAAACTCAGCAATAATAGACGTATTGTAATAGTTTCGGCAATAATGACAGTTGGCCAAAGACGCGACTTGCTTCGATATTTATCTCTCGATGTCTGTCCCGTTGTCACACTGGAAACATATATCAGGGGCAAAAATTGTTTTAGACTGGGACACAGAATTCTTAGCTTCACCTAAAGCTAGCTACATGCATAGTAACCTATAGGCCCACATTGTAGACCCTCTATTAAGCCTATAATTATTTCCTCCGGTAGGGTACAGTAATACCCGTTGATATAATACATAGTCCAGTTTGAATATTATGAATTAATATTAAGGGGAGATATTGGGCCATGTTGTAATACAAAATAGTAATAGTGTTATAATAAAGGACAGAGAGATTTTTCCAACCATTTTTCAGCGGTTGAAGTATAGGAAATTGTTTACTTACTTTAAATTAATTCAGATTCTTACTGCTTCACTTGTTTAGGTTTAATTTATTGAATTGTAGTTTTTGCTCTTGTAGTCAGGATGAAACTGTAGAACACATCATATTTTATTGTAATTTATATTCAAATCAAAGAAAAAGCTTGAGAAAGGAACTGAGACACTCTGGTATTTCTTGGCCACCTGTTTTGTTCTTGTTTGTTAAATGTACTGAAAACCTAAATATTTTAAGCAACTTTGTTCACTACTTAAACTTTTTAATTTTGTTCTGTTTCTTTTTAATTGACAATTGTACTTAGCCCACTTACATCTGTAAGTCTCATGTTATACTTGGCGGAGAACGAGTAGTCGTGTAAAAAATTTTAGTAAAAAAAATAATAACTTGATCAGGGCAGTGGTTGAAAGTTAAGATTCCTTAATGTTAAGTATATATTTTTCCGTATTTCGCTATATCTAGAGACCTTTTTTAAGCGAATTTAGGAACAAAAGTATAAAATACTTTCTAATTGTAAGTAAAAACTATATATAATTTAGTACGAAAATTGATTTGATAAAATAATTTTTAATAGTTATCTATTATTTTATTTAATAATAAATGAAGCTTTACAAGAATGAAAGTTTACAAATGTAAGATTTACAAATTTTTGCATCTTTTTAAAAAAAGTAATTTTACACAGCAAAATACAAAATTTGAACGAAATCGGCTGAAAGCAGAAATTACTTTTCTTTTTTTTTCTTTCTTTTTTTGTACAATGAAAATTAAACATGCTTTTATATTATGACAAGACACTGACAAATTAGACCCGTGATGATTGTCTGATGACACCGGATCTCGCAAATTCAATTTCAGGAGCATGCGCGCTTTCTTACTTATCAATACGACACACATTTATCTCGTGTATCATCAACACCTTCTAGAACAAAGAAGGCCTCACCACGGATCAATTTAGTAGTCCGACGTAATGAACATAAACTGCGCATAGGAGGAAAAATAAAAAAGATGTCGCTACGTTTGGGTTACTAAAAGATAAATTTTCTTGCTTATGGAAATCGTGCTGAGGTCTTCTCTCTTCTAGGAGGTATTAGTTTGATGCGACAGTATGGCTTGCAAATGAGACGTGTACAATGAGCACATACGTCACATGTTTTTATTTTCCCCTTGATCTGCTTTTCATAATATTGTTGGAGTTATAAGTATTGTTTGGCATCTTGCGAAATTCAGATGGAAGGAAAAAAATGGTTGATTACCTGAACCCTAACGACAATTAAATCATAATTGGTTCAATATGGATCCTATATGAACATATATCGAGGGATCAATGTTGGAATGCCTAAATTTTTATAATATTGGTCCCATATATTGCCTATATTGGCTGAATAATGAATATAAAATATCGGATGAATCTGACAATTCTATCTAGGGCTGATATTGGTTGTAAATTGGCTGTAAAATATTCGGGTGAATCGGATAATAATATATGGGGCCAATATCGGATAATAAAGGTCCTCTGAACCCTTATTGAGCAAAGATTCGTGAACATTGGTTCAATAAGGGCACAAGTTGTTTTCCTGCTGGAGAAACGCGATCATAAATTTGATGTGCTGAAAAACAAACATCATTAGCATTCAAAAAGAGTTCAGAACTTTTGGAAGTCTGCCATATATATCTTATCATTTTATTACAATTTAGCAATAGTAATTTATGATGAAATTTTGCACAGCAAGTTCTGTATTATGATGAATACCCACCTATCGCCTTTGCGTCAGATGGCACAAAAGGCATCAAGTCTCTTTTTTCTAGGCCTTTCTGTCCTGAGTCGGTCCTCTTGCCTCGTCGCATCCATTTAGTTTTTCTTGCACAAATTTCGGAGCATTTATCCCAATAGCAATAAAAAAGGGCCCTTATTGGTACATTATGCACGAATCTTGACTCTTGGGTTCAAAGGGCCGTTATTTTTCGGATATTAATAGATAGAATTAACCGATATTCTACATCTACTTTATAACCAATATCGGTCCTGTAGAGAATTGTCAGCTTCACCTGCTATTTAATATTCATTATACAGCCAATATAGGCCATTCTAGGATGATCAATATTAAGAAATTACTGTATGCGCTGCTAGAGAGGCAGAAGGTGTCGCAATAACATAGCGCGTGGCATGGTCAATCTGAACTAGCATATTGGCGTTACCAGATTTTGATTGCTGAAAGCAAATGATGTGACCATTAGACACAATCGGCAATTGCTGTAATAAGCCATAAGGTTTGGCAGTCCGACGATTAACAATTTGACATTTATGATAACTTCGAACTTATATTCTGGTATCCTTTCTCATTTGCAGCAGCCAAAAGCGCTGCTGCACGTTGTGAAGAGTTTTCTTGCATCTATATATCCGACATCATCTTGGCAAGCAATCAATGTCCTGTCTTTCATGGATTTCGGTATCACCACAACAGTTTTCAATCCATTATCCTTAAGTCTTACAAGCGTATTGTTCTCAATCTTGTAATTGCATATTGCAATAGACAAAGTCTTTTTATTGGGGCTAACTTCTTTGAGCAGGCGAAAAACATACTGACAAAAGTCATCTCTGCTCTGTTTTTCACAAATCTGAGATTCACGGCTTGCAGTAACAGTTACACAAATAGCTGGTTTTTGATAACGTGAGAGATAATCGGCAATAACATTTTCTTTTCCCGGTCGATAAATAGTCGCAAAGTCAAATTGAGCAAAATCCACCAAATAGCGAGCGAATTTCCGATTGAGCGATGATTTCGTAACAACATATGCAGTCGTATAGTTGTCTGTTATCAGCTGAAATTTGTGACCAATAAGATATAGACGGAATTTTTCAGTAAGTGCCCAGTGTTCAGCAGCACACTCCAGCTCATTGCTGTGGTAGAGTGTTTCAGCATCTTTTAAAGTCCGTGATGCATATTCAAGGATTCATCGTTTTCAATTTTGCTCCTGAGATAAACATGCACCTAATCCTGAATAGGATGCGCCCGTTTCTACAAAGGTTGGTTGTCCTTGTTTGAAGAACGCAAGAATAGGAGAGGTAGTAATCATGGTTTTCAAAGTCTCGAATTTTTGATGTTGGTCATCAGTTAAAGTGATTGTCGCATTACTTGTGTACTTTTCTAATCCTTTGAGAATAATTGTGAGTATTTTTGCAACAACTGCATAATTTCGAATGTGCTTTCTAAACTGATTGGCGAATCCAAGAAAACTGCTGACTTCATAAATTGTTTTTAGAGTAGAGTAACGTTCAACTGCAGCTGTGCGTTATGGATCAGGGCGTTCGTCATCTTGGGAATGAATTCGACCAAAAAGAGAAATTTCTGATACAGAAAATTGCCCCTTTCCTGGATTTAGCTTGAATCCAGCTGTACGAGTAGCTTGAAAAGTATTGTAAATAACTTTGAGGTGGTAATCAAAATTATCATGTGAAGTTGAAATGTCGTCTATGTATGTATTTACGTCATGTACAGCAAGGTGGGCGTAAGTACATTTTATTGCTCTTATCATCGTAGATGGGCCGTTAATGACAAAAATTGTCTTCCTTCGAATTTATTTTTCATCTTATTAGATTTTGCATTCATTTTCATGGTTCTTGTTTTATTCTTGTTCATTTGTATTCAGGTTAGATTTTTTTATTATTTACTAAATTTTTTGGTTTTCTTTTCAAGACAGATAAATCTAGATGAAATCAGGATTACGTCATCTGCATAATCGAAATCTTCTAGGGTGAAGATAAAATTCCATCTCATTTCTCTTTTTTCATTTTTGATTGTATTATTCATAGTTCAGTTAATAGTAATTATAAATAAAAATCTAAACAATACGCATCCTTAGCTTTCTCAGTCCTGCCATTAATACTTGTCATCAAAGAAGTCTGTAAATAATATATCTAAAATAATATCTGTAAATATTATAGCATAGAAATATATATAAAGGATTAAATATTTAGAAATGCAAGTATGAAATATTTTGCAAAATTGCATTTTAAAGGTTTCTTGATGCCAAAAACTCACCCATTACCGAGCTGGTCGGGTGACAATTTTAAAATTTAGAATTGGAACTCCCACTTATTACTTATTATTGATTGCAGATTTGGATTCTCCAGAAAAATTTGCTGTCACATTTAAACTTAATGTAATGTGGCAATTTAATTTCTAATTTTACCTAAGCCTTTAATTTTTCTTTAAACATTATTCTTTTTTTCAATTTAGCAATTTTAACTTTCTTATTGACCTTTCTCATGATCATTGCGGTCATCGCACTTCTTGTGGGGGAAGTCAATCAACCCCTCTATTCACGCCTTTCTTTTTCTTCTTTTAATTTTAGGGGGGCTAACTAACCAATCTCTTTCCTTTAAATTTCAAACTCTCCGCCTCTTTAAATTTAATTAGCCGTAATTTTTCTGATCTACCCCAGTTAAGGAATTTTTTTAAGTCCTTTAAAAATACATTCTCACTCTCCAGCCTTCGGGCAGGTTACCTTTTTTTCTCCGAGATGCGGACTTCGGTCCGTATCAAGGACATTTATGTTTTACATCTTTTTCTCAGCCAGCCTATAATTTAAATTAAATCTGTGAAATTAATTTCTGTATTTTTAATAGCTTCATTTTTACCTTTAGTTTTTTTTTTTATTAAAGACCCTCTCGAATTTAAGTTTTCTAGCTATGAATATCTTTTCTATAGTTAAATTTCTCGTTTTATTTATTTTAATCTTATTCATGACACCTCCTATTTCTTTATTCTCTTGTCATCCATTTTTATTAAATGGCATTCCTAATGTTAATTGTGTTATCCAATTTTCCACTAAATATATTGTGAGTTGTTTTGAAATAAATGTTCACGGTCGTTAAAATTTATGTGTTCATCTCTTCATTTGCTGTTCTCGTCAAATTCTACTGCATGTGGCGGGTGAGTTTGTAATTCTGTTTTGGGCATGCTTTCTTTTTTTATATTGGAAACATCAGCTCATTCCATTTATCTTAAATGTTAAATTGTATCTAGATATAGCATGACTTTATCGTATTTATCTTTAATATCTAACTTATTTTAGTTTCGCCCTTTTTCCAAATTTGGTGATACCAATTTCATCCAATTTGTTCAAACCTCACACTCTGTGACCCTTTGAACCTATTGGGTTATTGTTATCCCACATTAGCATTGTACTACCACTTTCCTTAACGATCACATCCCAATTAATTTAATTTAATTATCTTTTATATGTTTCGGTCCTTAATTTATTTATCATGACATTTCAATCATTTACCTATTTTTAATCATGACTATATCCAGAGATACATCCAGTTATGCAACCCATCCATTTTAATAACAATACATAAATAACTTTACTTTACTTTATGCGCACCAAACCAAAATATAATATTTTATTAAACTCTTACATTTGCTTTATTTGATTTTGTTATCACTGAATGCATTTTTAAAATATTTTACACTCGTATTCATAGAGTTCTGATCCAATGCATTTTTCTCGAAATATTTGACAGTTTTCATACTTTTTGACACCTTGTATAACATGAGCATACTATATGTAAGGTGTTTTTTTTCCTACCCTGTATTTTTAAAATTTCTGCAAAAATTGAAAAGCAAAAGGAAACACATTAGTGGTTAATTATTATTTAACCGAGAAAAAAACAAACAAAAGCACTTTCGAAATCTGGCGAATCATGATACAGGGAGGCGAGAGTAAAAATCAACAAGACAGAATCAATAATCAGAGAAAAGTTTAAAACTGATTATTAAAAACATCTTCAAGTTTCAAAACCCCTATGAAACCTGCCTTGATGTTAATTGTATTCGCCTACATTTGCTGTAATTTGTCAGATTTCCATAGTGTTAAATATTGATTTATAATGTCTACTTTCATGCTGCGATTTATATTTTCATGTCCTAAACTGCTAAAAATTCCAAAAATTGTGTGCCACATTGCACAAAAAATTGGTATTCATTTGCTGGCAATATAAAATGGAGCTCAATTTTACCATATTTTGGTGTTTGCACTAGCTCCAAATATCACTAGAAGGTTGCACCCAAAGTAGGAACTTTGAAGAAACAAAACACCTTTTTCTTTCTTTTAGGAAAGTTGCACCATTATTAGGTACAGTGAACTCTCACTTATGCACGGGTCTAAGGGGCCAAGAGAAAAAAGCGCATAAGTGAAAGAGGAGCATAAGTGAAAAACTTCAGAATTCTAAAACACAGCGTAAACTGTAGTGACAATATGAATAAATATGTTTCTAAGGATTAAATGTTAATATTTATACTGTTTTGGTACTTACTATAATCATACAAAGAAAAAATTTAACATACCTTAACACAATTTATTTTCTTACAAAATAATCATAATACATGTTTGTATTTGTTTTTGCCGACGTTATTCAAAAACAGTTTTTTCCAGTTCATATAAATGGGATAAGGGGGAGTTACAGAAGCAAAATTAAATTGTAAGTAGTCAGGACAGGAATAGTGCCTAAAGCTTTCAATACTGCTGTGTGATTTGGAGGAACTTTATCATCTCGTCAGTATCATCTACCACGTTCTCATCGTTCACAAGTTTTAGTTAGATATAAATAAACAGTTCTTCACAAAAAATTTGAGTTTTTATGGGAGGGGGTGATACATCACATGATAAGTTTCTAAGAAAAGTACTTGACGTCATAATATGCTGCACAATAAGTTGTTCAAGTACTTTTGTCACTAAACAGATCACCTCCTTTTATTTACTCATAATGTCCATCTGACTGCAAGTAAGTGATCGCGGTCTCTTTCATCTTTCGTATTCCAGGTGTCTTTTTTTTCTCTAGAAAACAGCATGGGAGTAAAACTAACCTCTGGACAAGAGGAATGGTCATTTTCTAAAAGATGAATGAGCTTTCATTGTTGTTGGTGTAGCAGATAAGACACCCTATTCAAAATTCTAGAAAGAATGTCTTTCCAGAAACAGCAAAAATGAAAAGGACACAGGGGGAAGCAAATTCAATAGGATCTAACAACATATATTTCTTTTTATCTGTAACAAGGATTGCTTATTTGCTTCATTTTTAATTTAAAACATTTTTTTAAAAAAAAAATATTTAAAGGATTAAAAAAATAAAATGTTAGCCTAAAGTTTCGGCACATAATTGAAAATTTTATTTTTAGAGCGACGCATAAACGAAGGATGTTTATCATTATTTTCCCATCTAATGTACTGGGACCTATAAAAATCGTCGTATAAATGAAAAAGGTGCATGAAAGAGGTGGTGCATAAGTGAGAGGTCACTGTATTTCCAAATGGCTCAAATTCAGGCCGAAGTTGCTATTTACCGTAAAAAAATTATTTACCGTAAGTAGGTTATTTTAGGACACACCTCTAACTATTTTACACCGTCGACCAAATTTAAAAAGGCAACATAAAAAAATGAGAAAAGGCAACGTATAAAATAATTAATGCAAATGCGTGCATTTACCTATATTTGCCTAAGTTAATACTTGAAACAACATGCCTTAGCCGTCCCGATACACCGAGAGAGAGTTGTAAAGAAAAAATGGCGTCGTAAGCAAATATCGTTCAGTTTACAGTCACCGTCAAAGTTTTGTGCCTTTTATCGAATATCGGGGCAGTTAGTTGCACTAAAGAAGTATTTTTTGATCATACTTCACAATTTATGGTGCAACTAAAATAAAATGATCCTTCCTTTAGTTAGACTTTGGGATAATGAAACACTTTGCACCAAATAATAACTGGTTTCAAGATTTACCGAGGGTTTTTTTATTTTTAATTTTTATAGTACGTTCATTTTGTTGATTCAAAAAACGCATATTAAGGGTGGTTTTTATGGAACACTTTTTACTCAAGAAGTTCACTGATACTTTATGATTACATTGATGGTATATAAAATTTTTTTATAGCTATTCAGTGAATTTTTAAATTATATTTCAGGTTTTTAACTTTGTTAGAGAGACAGTGATTGCACAATGTGATCTCAATGGTGAATCTGGATTGCCACTTTGCGAAGAGGGAAATGTAACTTCATGCCTTTTGCCTTATATGTGTTCGAACAAAGAGAAATTCGTAAGGACGTTTTAAGCAATTTATTACCATTTCCAAAAATATATATTGTCAGTTTTTTTTACTTAAAACTACTAATTATTTATTATGCGACTTATTACCTAAAAAGTGAATCAAATTTTAGTATATAACTTAAATTTTTCGACTTTAAATTAAAAATAAATAATAAAAATTTCGTAATTTTCCACCACAAAAAGTGCTTATCTTATTTATTCAATTAAAACGTCTTATTATTACCAGTCTACTTTGGTAACTATCCTCCCTTTACTCACGGAATTACCATGATGGGTTAAACAATTAATTAATTACTAGTGGGCAGCGCTCCCTGCTCGCTAACGCTCACCAATCCCCGAAAATTGCTACGCAATCTTTGCTTCGCTCGCTGCTAACTTAGGTACATTGAAAATGCACAAAATTCTAAGCATTCAAAACAATAATTCAAATCCATATAACAACTTCTTAAAAAAAAAACAACATCTTTTTAATAAATACTAAGTCATTAAAATAAGTTTGAATTCAAATAAATGGCATGTAATTCGTTAAACCTATTAGAAATGTGCTATAGTATAAAATCTTAAAGCGTAACAGCACGACTGAGACTCATTTTTCAATGAACAACTAATAACAATAATAAAATAAATAAATTCGTGATATAAATCAAAAATCGCCAAATAAATTCGTGGTATAAATCAAAAATCGTCAAATAAATTCGTAATATGTAAATTCGTGAAAAAAAAAACGTTCTCGGCAAAATACTAAAATAGAGATCTATCGACAAAGACTACTCACTTCTGCCTAGCTTAATAGTATGAGATTGCCGCAGCTGATAATATTCTCTCTGGTTATTTAAGTTTTCGTTTCTAAAAGCGCTATATGTTGAGTCACCTCAGTAGATTTGGCATGTTACATTTTTAGCGGCAATCATTGGTCGATTTTCTAGCGTTGCCATTCGGGGAGTTGTAATGAGGCTTTTTTTTGTCGCCGTGTAAGAGAAATATATATATAGATTGAGGTCTTAAAAAATGTCTGACTGCGCACATAATTTGAAATAAATGTGAAAGAAAATAAGTCGCAAAAACCCTCCCAAAACTACTAAGAACTACTAAAAATAGTTTTATTAAAAAAAAGGTGACCCATATAGTTTGAAATAAAAAAAATATGAAACAATCCGAATTACTTTTGATCTAATGATTAGAGTTTCATGAACTAAAACTCAATCTTAACGGTTTGAAGGGATGATTTCAAACATGCTGAATAGACATACCTTTCTTCCCCGTCGGATTTGGGTTCCTTACCCTCAAAATGTAAGGGGTTGGAGCTATCTAGATAATATGGACCAGATTGTTTGATCCGGAGAGCCGTTCAAAATTTGAACCTCTTAATGTAAATTATATCTTTTGCGTATTTCGCCGTATCTCGAGAAATTTTTAAGTGAATCGAAAAATTCTTGTATACAATTACATAAATTCGCGCATCCAAAGATAATTACACAAAAAATTACTTTTTATTTTTTTTAATGATAGTCGAAAAAATTTTGATCTGTAAGGAACTTAAATTTTTACGTCATTAGAAAAAAAAATAATTTTATAGGGAAAAATACAAAATTTGAACGAAATCGATCAAATAGTTTTGGAGAAATAGAATATTTTAAAAATCCGATATTTAAAGTTCGATATCTCTTGGAACTATTCTTCCGATTTCATAAAAAATTTTGTATTTTTGCTGTAAAATGGTCAATTGCATTATGTGAAATGGTCAAAAAATTTTTATACCTTGAAATTCAAAGTTTTTTCGACTATTATTAAATAAAATAATAACAAATACTGATTAAAAATTAATTTTTGCATATTCTTCTTTAGATAAACGAATTTTATAATTGCGTACAAAAAGTTTTTGATTCGCTTAAACAATTCTCGAGATATGGCAAAATGTAATAAGTACAACACATCACAAGAAAATAAAAGTGTACTAAAATAGGAGGGTATCTTATTATATAAAACGCTAATACGTACGTATGTATCAATAAAACCAAAATTTAATTTTTAATTGATTGGATTCGGCGCGCAAGAGCACGTAGTGAACATCATATGGCTAATCCATGTTATATAAAACGCTAATAAGTTTTAATTGATAGGCTTCGGCGCGCAAGAGCACGTAGTGAGCATCATATGTCTATCTATCTCCGATTGTCACCGAGAAAAAAACGGTTGGTTGGTTATGAGTACTGAAATAGTTCCTTTTCATTGGCAGAAATGAGAAGTGTTATGCTATTGCTATTTTATTTTGAATT